GCACTCGCAGTTCTCGCACAGCGCCATGGGAGGATACTGCAACGGCACCATCAGCACCATGTCAGACCTGCCGTCCTACCAGGAGAGCATGAGGAACGGCGCGACGGCCACGGCTTGGTACGGCTCGAACCCGGAGCCCAGATACCCGACAAGTGAGTCCGATCAACAGAATCTTTCATCCCGTGTACTTTATCTGATTAATGTCCATCAGAAATGGCATGTTATTAAGGCTTTTGCCATTTATTATTTCTTTGATTCTCTCGTTTTAAAGAAATCAATTATTAGCCTATTACTATTTGTTTACACACTGTCAAGCTGTCATATTATTAAGGCTCATGGAATTTGTCCTCAAATAATGCAAGTCCATTGCCTACAGAAACCTGCGCGTGAAATATACATGTGAAATATTAATATAAATAAATAGGCCGATAGATAGATAGAACAAAACAATTCTTAGTAAATAAAACAAAGATTATTGAATTAAGTTTAATGTACGTTTTACGCACTTAATCGTTTATTTCGGTCTTTCTACGTCAAAATTTCAAGTTTAATTCAATGTTGCTTGCCGTTTTCTTTCTTTCAAGTGAAAATGGTCCCGGAGTAAACACTGCACCTTTTTGTAGCGTTGATAGAATTTCATTTAATTCTTTTCGGCTTTGCATTTTTAAACCATTTTTGTTTAATTCTTATTTGTATTCGATTTCATTTATAATAGGCTTATATATGTGGACGTTTTGTACTTGTTAAAAAACGACACTTATAAACGGCTACAGGCTATACATTTAATATAATTTATAATTATTTTATATTAAATGAAATCAACTTGAGTTTCGCACCACATACAATGAATATACATTTCAGAAACACACTTCCCCTCAGAAATTGCTAGTACATTTCACAAATAAACGGCAAGTAACACACTGAATTAAATGTGAAATTTTGAAGAAAGATTGGAGTATTATTTTCCTGTAAAACACACTCCAATAATCTTTATTTACAACTTCGAAAAGTCATTTTTTGAAATTGCATAAATTAGGCATCGATGTAAATATTAATTTGCTTGTCCTCTCAAGTCTCCAGGTTTATGGGCCCCTCGGCGGGCATGAACATGGGAACATTACCGGGCATGGATGCAAGTAAATCTATGGTGACTTTACACGCGGCGCCGCGGAGGAGACGGCGCGTGCTCTTCTCTCAGGCGCAGGTGTATGAGCTGGAGCGCCGCTTTAAGCAGCAGAAGTATCTGTCGGCGCCGGAGAGGGAACATTTGGCCAGCATGATTCACCTGACCCCGACCCAGATCAAGATCTGGTTCCAGAATCACAGGTATAAAATGAAACGCCAGGCGAAGGATAAAGCGCCGCAGCCGCAGCAGGACAGCGGAAACCTGTGCACGCAGCAGTCGCCGAGGCTCGTGGCTGTGCCGGTGCTGGTTAAGGACGGTAAACCGTGTCAGAACGGCTCCAGCACGCAGACGTCGGTCCATCAGCAGGTGCAGAACGTGCTGGGCAGTGAGACTTTAGCTTCAGCAGAGGATCTGGAGGAGATGTCGCCCAGTCCTCCTCTGATGAACAGCCTCTCTCAGACTGACGCCGCGCTCATCGAGTACACCAGCGGCATGGGGAGCTCCAACCTGCTGTACGGCAGAACGTGGTGATATTTCAGCCAGCGGGCATTTTTACCACACAGACGGGAACGATAATTGCATTTAAGACTTTTTTTTTTAATAACTCATTTTTTTTAAACGGCACTCGTCTGATGCAGCGGTGCGCGGACCCTCACGTGAATTGTATGGATTGTAACTTTAAATCATTATTGAATGAAATCTCTCCAGCGGATGAGGAGGAGGAGGAGTGTGTGATGAAGACTAGTTTAGCGTGATGCCATTAATCCGACATCAGTTTTGTTGCTTTGTAAAATACAAGCTGTAGATGAAGAAATGTTTTGTGTACATATCTAACACTGGACAAAGAATGCTTTCTCCAAGTCTTTTGTAAGTTTAAAAGGAAACAAAATAAATATGAGTGCTGCAACTATGAAAGAACCACTTGAATTCAGTATTAAATCATTTTTGTTCCTCAAACCGAGCAGCAATTATTATGCATTAAAGGTCTAAAAATACTAGCTTAAAAGAGAGAGAGAAATATAGCATTATTTATAGTAATTATAAATTAGACCAAGGAAATCTAAAAGGTTAGACTGAATATACGCTAAAATAGTTTTTTTCCCCACGAAGTCGCAAATAAAAAAAAAAAACTATTTCTACTTCAAAATTGCACGTTTAATTCAGTGTTAAGTACCGTTTCTTGGTAATTACTTGTGAAATGTTCTAGCATTTCTGAGTGAAATTTCACTGAATTTAATTGTGTAAAACGCTTGCTAAAGAGCTTATCGGAGGCGATTTAGATACAATTAGGACATAAACACCGATATTTTGTAGTACTTTTATTTGCTATAAATGTTGAGAGCAAAGTTAAATAAATATATATATAGCAAATTAAATGCATTTCCTTATTTAACAATAAGAACGAATTAGTTTGTTTCCAAAATTATTACATATGTTAAATGCGTGTATACTGACCTTTTGCATTGGTCGATTTTACTTTAAAAAAAAAAACCCAAAACAAAAAAATATATATATTCTAATAGGTC